ACACACACACACACACACACACACACACACACACACACACACACACACACATACACACACATACACGCATAACTGTTTTGGGTTCTTTTGTCAGCCCGTTTTAGTTCTTTCAAGTTTTATCCTAATTGTAAGTCAGCAGATGGTTTCTACTACAAGCTAATTGTTATCAATGCAGGGGAAATTATAATAATAATAATAGATAGCATTTGTATAGCGCATATCCCCGCTCAGCAGCAGGCTCTATGCGCTTTACACTATATTAAAATTATGCTCCAAAGACAATATTAGGTCCCCAAAACCTCATCAAAATTTGAAACAAAACATTTATTACTACTTGATGTATTCTTTTGACAAGTGTGATAAATCATCTAGAAAAAAATTATCTGGTAAACAAACAAATGAAGGAACATTTATCAGCACGAAAGGAGCGAGAGTAAAAAGAAATGGCTAGAAATCGTTTGTAAATCTTTGTCTACCTTTCCTCTCACAGCTGATTATCTGATGCTATCAGTCCAAGCAGTGACTGGTCGATTTCCTTCCCGCCAGTTTTCATTTGTTCCAGTTCTGTGGCTGCAGTGGCCACTATTGTGCGTTATCGATTTTGACCTCTCAATAGCCTCTTATCGGAAGTTTTTAGCTTTCACAACCACCGCCCCACTGCCGAATTATATGAAAGAGGAGATTGGAGTTGAGACAAAAGGGCGTGGTGTGGGTGGGGAGAGGAGCGTGCTGTTACCTCGGGTTTATATCGGTCTCCAATGTGGTGTGGACACCCTTATTCTAATCCTCAATAGGGTATTCTTGAGTCATTAGATAATTGAATGACTCTATGCTGCTTGGTGATATCGGAGATGGGCGTTATATCTGCAGCCTCGCTGTTTGTATTATTACAGTTTTCCTATCTTAAAAAGAGCGTCAAAGTCATAGCCAAAAACTTCAGCTTAGATGACTGAGAGACGAAAACAGAATGCAGTCAAAATTGTCTAAGACTGTCACCCATTGTCGAAGAGAAAAATTGTCATCTTAGACAGGTAGACGTCTTACACTGTGTTATTATAATGTTTAAAAAAACACAAGGGATGAAATCAGAAGTGGCCGTTTGTACAGATTAATGTCTTATACAGGCTGCTTTTACAACAGATTCGACTGTACCTGAATAAGGAAAGTGAGGGTGGCTTTGAGAATGCCTAAAGTGTGCAAGAGGACTTTTATGGGCAGAAGAAATCCTTGAGAAGGTGTGTGAAGTGAGTTGGAGTGGGCATAGCTTCTGACCTGGTACACCGCAAAGGTTTAGAGTAAATTATGGTTTCAATTACATACATCTATTTATTTGTTCTATAAATAGGTCTGCACTGAGAAGAAAACGGTTTATTATAGAGTAGCGAAAGAAACGCCAGAGTAACAGAAGCTAGAAGAGAATACATGTAGTAAAGAAGCTATACTTATAAAAAGCGTTATTTAACCAATTGCGATTCCTTACTGTATGTATGTCTGTGTGTGTTTGGGG